ATGTATGAGAATGAGACAGACAAAATATCTCATGTAATTAGTTATTCCACATATATATTAAATAATTATATCACATTATTATAATACAAAACATAAAATATTTAGTCTTAAAACTAATCAACACCTCAAAAATATCAAACATAGAATAAAATGATCTTACATTTATTTCAAAATTTTCATTCCTTATCCTTGTACCAACCAACCATTAAATTCTGAACTATTCTATTTTTACTCTGATAAAGCTCTTTTATCATACATTTTTTTGGACAAGAAGACAGAAGGTTTGAGGTAAATATTGCTGCAGCTTCAAACAAACTTGAAAAGAAAGACAATAATTAAATTAAAACAAAGAAAAGAAAGGGCCTACAAGATTGTGATACCTTTTTTTCTCTAATAAAGAGTAATTGAACTTTTGAATGGTGGCACACATATTTATCCTATAAGAGAATCAAACAACCTTTCACCCAAAGTTATTTCTTTCCGCCCCACGCTAGAACTCCGATTAGATCAAAATTCCACGGTAGTGACACTCCCAACAAAATTTTCTCCATATCCACTAGTCTATTTTCATTTGTTCATCCTACTAAAAATAAATGTTTGTTTTTACTAATTCAATTTATAAAACCAAAAAATTAATTTATCACTTGAATTTATTTTTATCATTTACTATGATAAATTTATTATATTAAAAGAGAAAAAGCCAAGTAAAATAGACTAAAAGTTTATGTACATTTGAGGTTGTGGTGGATATAATTATTCATATGAGCAAATGACTTAGTAATTGAGGTGAGCAGAAGCTAATTCAGATATCACGTTTATAAAATAAAAAAGTATATTATATTATATCAAATGAATTTGCTTCTATATTTTTACCCACCAAAATGCCAAATTGCCAACCCCATTATCTTCTTCAAGTATTAAAGGGAATCCACTTCTGTTATCTGATGTCATTATCAGCTCCCTTTCATCCTAACTTCACCTTTTGATCTGTAAGTTTTTACTTATTTATGCACGTACATTTGGCGCGCCTTTCTGCTAGTATCTGCAAAGAACACAAAGTAATAAGGAGTGTTATTATAAATCCCGTGGACTCGCGCTCATTGTGATCTGTAATCTAAAATTCTGTAGGATATACCTTGACTTGTTTCTCCAGCTCTTTAATGTAATCTACTGCAAAATCCAACATATCTGCTGTGTTTGTTTGCTGCAATGAAATCGAAATAGCAAAATGAATACGCGTAACATTTCTACTGTACCTCATTTTGGTGAAATTAATAAGTTAGGATTCTACCTTGTCCATGTTGGGAACAAGCTCTTGCAGCTTCCTCATTCTGTCGCTTATTCGTGTTCTTCTTACCTGAAATTATTACTAAAACTGTATCAGTACATACTAAGATCCACGCATGTCAAAAGCCGGAAGGATCAAAGGGTTTGAGAAAGTTCAATTTTGGTTATACACAATACAGTAAAAATTAGAGTACTCATAAGTCGTATGTCTTGAGTTTCTTGAAAATAACTGTCCAAATAGAAACATTTGGCATCCCTATCAAGACTGATGCATGTCAAAAATTCCGTAGAAGCTCTGTACTTATCTCACTACCCTGCCCGTCTCCCATGATATAGTTATTCGACACATCAATTAATCAAATCCAAAAGTCACAGTTTTAGTGAGCTGAATTTTAACAAGGAAACTCGAGTTTTTAGTGCTAAAGTGTTTACCCTTTCTGCAATGCTACGAGGGTGAGTGGCACAACCCCTCTTTGCCCTGACATTCAAGTGAACTGAATCTTGCAAGAGCTTCTCCATGGTACTTGTGGGCAAACTCAAATGATGAGATAAAGGAATTGGCGGGCGAGCCAGCCCTTCACTACTCTGATCATCAAAATCACACATGTGTAAGACAATGATTAAGCAAGCCGACAACTCCTCTAACAATAACAGATACCTGATTATGGGATGCATCTTCATTAGAGAATGGCTCAATCTCAATGTCTTCAGTTTTAAGGAAATCATCGGACAAAATGTGTGAATCTTCCCAAGAAGGCATGGGGAAATCTGTAATGCAATGCTCGTCGTTTTTATGTTCATTCCCCATGCTCTTTTCCTCTAAGACTTTAGTTCCAAATTCAGATATTGGAGCCATAAGCCTGGGAGAAGCAGGAGGTTTCCCGGATGAGAATCCAACTTGAGTCTTGAAACTTTTTGGAGTCGACAATGAAGTATCTGCAGCAGCATTAGTACCAGTTTCGTAACGCCCTATGCCTCGTATAGCACCATATTCTGTCAATTGCTGGAATCTTAGCAACAAACTTAAACTCTAAAGTCAGATTAAGCAGTTAGATATGATGACCACTATTTTTTACTTAAAACTCAAGCAAAATCCAAAAATCACTCTTTCTTCATCTTCTTGGCAAAGATTTATTAACATAAGAGAACTTCTAACTTTTACCTATACAATATTTCAGTAGAACTCAACTATCAAGAAAATAATTTAATAGATAAATCTCCATCTCTACCACTCCATTTATTATTCGTCTTGATGTCTTTAGTGTCATAAAGGCAGGATATCAATCTTAACAAGAATCCTATTTGTACCTTAAGGTTATCTAGTTTTCAATTCCCATCAGTAATATCAAAACACGAAAACTAAATGGAAACTCAACCTATTAGTTTCTAATCAAATTTTGATCCTTTACTTATCTGCAACAACTAGTGATGTTCTTCATTAACATGTACACACTATCCATAAGCATAAAACTAGTTAAAAGCACGAGTATACTCATACATATCGAGGTTTCTTCACACAATCGCACAAGACAAGGTTCACAACAAACATTAAAACATACAGTATGAAGCTACAACAATGTTAATGCATACCATTTTCAATATTGATTTGAGCAAAGAATCCAGCAGGCGAACTATTATAACGGGTAAGATTCGAATTACCACCACCACCACTACTACTACCAGGTGTCAAACTAGCCGAATTCGCGAATACAAATGGCTTATCTGTAACTGCATTTAACTTCTCAATTTGTTGAGGTTGGCTTTGGTAATTCAGTTGTGAAGCTGAAACATGATCAGTACTCTGTAGCAGAGTTTCTGGTTCCCTTTTCACAGGTGAAATGAAGTGTTGATTCTGATTTTGATAATTTGAAACAAGAGAGTGATCACTACTTCTATGTCGTACTAACCGCGGTGTAATCTCTTGTTTTGGTACAACAAAATCCGATCTAACATTCATATTACTCGTGGGGTTTTCATGAATTGGTTGATTTGTAGGAAAATTCCCAGAGTTAGAGTTGGAGTTACCAATACTAGCTACAAATCTAGCAAAAACTTGCTCTATATCAGTAGATGAAGAAGAAGCAGTAGAATTTGGTAAATTGGAAAAATCATCTCTTGCATAACCACAACCCCCACCAGTAACAGGTGTAGTAGTAGTTAACAGAGTAGAGAAATAAGAACTTGGCGCAGATCGATACCTAGTTAAACCAGAAGTAATTGGTTGCTGCTCAACACGACTATGATCCATTTTTCTTCAAAAAAAAAAAACCAAAATAGAAAATACCCTTTTTTTATACTTTATCAAACACAAGAATTCAAGATTTTCACATAGATCGTACTAGAAGAAAAAACAGGAAAACCCCATGTAGATAAAAAAGATAATTTACATGAACAACTTGAGAGTAAAGAGAAAGAAGGAAGAGTTATTAAAGTGTCATCGGAAAATGGAAAGCGGCAGAGAAGATGACGGTGGTGGCGGTGGTGAAAGAGTAGTGAAGCCAATAACAAACTTATTTCAGCAACAGAGCTCAGAGAGAGATCTCGGACTTTCTTTCTTGGGAACTTGCATTTGTTTTTCAACAATCTTATAATAAAATAATTCTCGGATATAAAATGGTTTTTATTATAATTTTTTTTAGTAGAAAATAGAATTTTTTTAATTTAAATTAAAATTTAATCAAATTTTCATATAAATATAAATTTAGTTTTTTATTTTTTATTATATTTTTTAAAATATAAAAATATTAATATTTATTATATTCAAAAGACGATATACTAAAATTTTCTGAATAAGTATTATTTGCGGGAAGACTTCACCAACAAGAATTTTAGAGGTATGAGTCTTTCCGAATACATATAGTTTTTGGTAGATAGTATTTTACCGTCCTATATCGAATTTTTTTTAAATTTAAATTTAATTAAATTTTAATATTAAGTGGGAACATCTAGTAAAAAGATACCCTTTCCTCTCATGTCTTTTTCTTTTTTAAGAACAAGTGTAGCTTAAACACAAAAAGACAATATTTAATAAGAAAATGATAAATAAATATTGGAAACCATTAAAAGTATAGAGTAAAAAGATATATAATTACAATAATTTTTGAATTACGAAAATGACATTTATATTAGGATAAAAACTTTTTTTCAAAGGGAGAGTACTGATATTTCTTTTAATATACAAATAAAATTTATTTCCTTTTTAGGTATGATATTTATGACTTCCCCATAATAGCCTTAAAGAATGTAATTTATCATTCACGGGATGTTTGTAGTTGGACAAAACAAAAGACCCACAGATTGATATTATTTGTCTTTTACTAATGTTTTTGAACACCTTTTTTAAATTTCACTCATTTTTATCACAAGAGTACTTATCAAAATTGTCTTTTTATCACTATTATTAATTAACTTGGTATCGACATCACAGATTTTATAATATTAGTTCTATTTTATTTAATACATAAATATAATATATTTATATAATTTTGAGATAAGTGTTAAAAATACATCTAAATTATATCTTTTTTTTAAGTTTCATATTTAAATTATTAAAAGTTTGAGTTTCATATCTAAATTATCACTTTTTAGTTTCAGAAACACACATCTTTCTTTTATACCACTCTTATCATGGTATGTATAATATACACTCTCTTTCTTTTATTTTTATAGAATTTCCATATCACACTCTATATGGACAAAATATTCCGTTTTGACAAAAAATAAATAAATTATTAGTATTAGTTAAAATTAAAAACTAAAAATTAAAAAATATTCTAAAAAAAATAATATTTTCTTTATAAATAAAATATAAAATATTTTCTTACCCTACCCAATTTTTCTGAGTTCTTTTATTTTGTTTATATTTCTTTTATAAAAGTAGTTTCCTACCCTCATCAAATACTAATTTAGATATTATTTTATTTTCTTAAAAATATAGTCTTATCCATCCCACTTGGGATTCAATTTTTTTCCCAATGTTTAGATATACATATCAAAAATATTTTTTACTTGCCGCCACAAGACTTTTTATATTTTTTAGTTGTTTATGTTATATTCAGCACACTAATGGAATTTTCTATATATATATATCTAACACAAAATAAAAAAAAACGTAAAAAAATAAAAATTAAAAGCGGAAAATTAAATAGAATGAGGTAGATTTTTTTAAAAATAAAATAATATCAATTTCTATCTGGAGGAGGGGGGATATGAATTTTTTAAAAATATTTTATAAATTTTTTTTAAGAAAAAGGATGAGGTTGTTACGGGGATGAGGGGTACGTGGAGGAGGTGATGGAGTGAGATAAGAAAACTATATTTAGTTTTTTGTAGGGATAGTTTTCTTTAATTTTTAATTAATATTAATTTTTTATTATTTAATTTTTTTCTAGATAAAATATTTTATCTATGTGAAATTCATGTGTCAAAGTTTTTTCATATAAAAGAGAGAGTGCGCTACACACACCACTAAGGTGTGTTGCTCAAACTAAAAAGTGATAGTTTAGATATGAAACTCACACTTTCAATAATTTAGGTGTATTTTTGATACTTATCTCTATTATTTTAAAATTAATAACTCGCCAATAACACTAAAAATAATTAATTATGCTCCAATTTTCTCCATTTAAACCCTAAATATTTTTTAAGAAAAAATTGAATTTATGAAAATCAGGTTTTATTGTTCATCTTAAAGCTTCTGATTCTTTTATTTAAAATGTGAAATAAATTACTTGCTTTACTCAACAAATATTCTTTTTAATTATCTATCAAGCTTTATCTATGTTGAAAGAAAAAGCAGTTGCTTATATTTCTAAATAAATTATCATGCTTTCAAACAAAGTGACAAGGTGGCACATTAAGATCCTCTCTTTTGGAGGAATAAAAATCGTATTGATTGAAGTAGTACTAATCTCTATATCTCTAACGTTAAATCGAGTTAGGAGCTAAAAGATAAAAAAATCATCAAAAATTCTAAGATGATAACATAAGAATCAAAAAAATAATATTTTAATGTTTAAATTAACGCTGTTAAAACTAAATCAAACTGAATAAAATTCAAATTTCTAGCCCTTCTAATAAAAAAAAAGTTTTTTCTTTGCATTTTTTTTAGAAGTAAAAATAAAAAAGTATTGTTTTTTTTTGGAAGTTAAATTAATTAAAAATAATGTTTTTCTCATTGCTTTTATTGTTCACGACCATATTAAAAAAAATGAAAGGGATCATTCAAGAGGGGGTTGTTGTTGATGTTGATGTTGGCCTGATCAATGTTTCTACTTTCTACTATCAATCATTAAGTTAATTGATTTCTTAGCTTCACAAAGAAAAAAATTTGTTAGTATTAATTAGTTCAACAGAATCAAAACACAACCACTATTAACTTTATTCTCTATGATATATAGACGTTTAATTTGTTTAATTCAAAAATAAAAATTTGTACAAAAGATTTAAAATAAAAGAGAGAAAATGCAAAATAAATAAATTTGAGAAAATACATAAAAACTATTCCTGAATTTGATCGGATAATTTACTTTAGTACTTAAACTACACGTGAGTTTACATACATCCCTTGATATTTTGAAGTGAATTAAAAACCACCCTAGAATTATTATATCACTCTCACTTGCCACATCATAGTCATGTCAGCACCAAGTCATTAAACTATTTTTATTAGTTATTTTAATAAAAATTTCTTTAACACTTCTTAAAATTAATTTACACTAAAGAAATGTTAATATATTAAAAAAATATGATTATATATTAACCTATAAAAAAATGAAATGTGTATGATCTTATAATTTTTTTTTAAAATTCCTTCACACGCTATTAGGTGAGTAAACTTACTCTATTTTCCACGTTTTTCCTTAAAATTGCATTTAATTCGCTTCAAATTGTTAAAAATAAGTGATCTGATCAAATTAGGAAATTCTTATAAAACATCATGTAAACCAAACTTGACTGTACTATATAATTTTGGACCACAATTTATTTGGCAATAAAAGAAAGGAGTCCTTCCTACCTAGAATCTACAGGTAGTCCTTATTCATTGAAGTTGAGGAAATAGGGAAATACTTTACTCAAAGTAGTACTTTAATAGATCTAAACATTTTTCTACTTATTTTTGGTTAAATTTCATAAATGAAGATATATAATGTTTTTTTGTTTTATTAAAGTCACATAATTATATATTTTTTCAACAGAAAATAACAAAACATATTTATAGTGCATGGAATTTATGGTGTATATGTACAGTGACATGGAATTTCTCATAATTAATAATGTGAGAGGCCAATGTTTATTAATGCATGTTTCTTGACGCACTATCATCATACTATAAAATATGAACATCAATAGTATACAAACAACCACACAAGATAGCGAAGATTTTATTTTATTTTATCAAAAATAAAAATAGTTAATGTTAGAAAAAAAGGAAATGGGAAAAGTTATTATGAGATGGGCGTCAAACTTTTAATCAGTCAATCAATCGAGATATTTTTTTAATATAAAAAAATAAAAAGTATAATATTTAATTTAATATAAATAGACGATAACACTCATATTCATGATCAGCTAAAATTCTACCATGTTTTTCTTTAATAATATGGGATTTTACTAACAAATTAGTAAATAATAGGCATTTTGAAATTTTAATCAAGCAAATTTGGATTAGAAAGTCTAAGAAATTATTTATCAGGATATCAATTTACTTTACTTTACTATTTATCTAATAAAAAAAGACTTTAAGCAGCTTCTGATTGATCTGTCTGCTTCAGCTGCTAGAAGTAGGTAACTGTCCATTGATGCGTCAGTTTTTGCTTCTTTACTTTTTGTTTCAATTTAATACTTAAAATGTTTAAAATTATTATTAATAATTTTAATTTATATGTAAAAGATACTTTAAATCACCAATATTTAGCACCTTAAAGTGAAAGAAGGATATGACGTGCAATGATGTGAAAAGTGCGATAACTCAAAAAATAATAATATTACCAACCCTGAATTAAAAGACATAAAAAATTTAAATGGTTTTTAAAAATTTAAATTTATATGTGCAATGTAAATTAAAACAAAGTAAGTAACATATATGATTAAAAAATAATTTAAAATATACTATAAATCATAATAATTAACAATTTAATTTTTTTTAGAAAAAGATATAATCTATCATTATCATATAATTAAAATAAAAATACATTGTATTATTAAAAGTTCAATAATAATATATTATAATTAAAATACTTAACAATTTTAAATATCAAAAAATCATATTAAAAGAATTAAATGAATCGACAATTATATCAATATTATAAATCGAAATAAAAAATACGCTCATGCTCCCAATTTTCTGACCAATTTGTCAAAGAAGTAACTGAAAGCGAAATGCTGAAAAGTTTAATCCTAAAGATAGATAAATTCAACATAAAAACATTTCTTTAGCTTCTAAAATATTTATATTTATATTATGCTGGGTCCATTAATTCTTAATGTTTTTTAAACAGAAAAAAGAATAAATATATTCTGAATTGACGTAAATATTATATATATATATTTCGTTATATTTTTTTGATATTGTTGTCTCTATC